GTCCTGAGCTCAGCGACAGTCCCCCCTCTGAGATCTGTTCTCCTGTGCCTGACACCTGAGCCCTAGGACCAAAACTTTTACATACGCTACTGTGCTGAATAAGGTTTGCTACGGCTGCCATTTAAAATGTCCACAAACGTAGTGGCTTAAAACAAGTGAGGTTTCTGGGACCAGCAGATGGCATAATGGTTATGTCGCTGGACTCCCATGTAGTTGACCGGGGCTCAACTCCTGGACCTGACAACTTAAATCTCATGCTGGGTGCATGTGCCTGTGTGCAGGATATCCCGAGAGGAGAATGGAAAAGGAGGGGTTGTGGTGCCGCATCCCCCCGGGGGGCGATTTCACTTTCAGTCTCTCTGTCTCTCTGGGGAGCGCACATGCCTGATAGCAAAAATCTCTCTGGGAAAAAAAAAAAAAAGAGAGAGAGAGAGAGAGGGAGAGAGAGAGGATTCTTATCTCCCAGTTTCAGAGTTCCAAGGTTGAAGATAGCCCTTGTTGGGTTAAAACAAGATGGCAGAGCTGCATATCTATCGGGATGCCCTAAGGGTGGGTGCGTTTCTTTCCCTTTTCTACTTCCACCCTTTCTCCCTCTCTGAAGTTCACGGCATTGACTCAGTGTGGACCTCCATCTCATGCCAGCATCTCTCTGCTTCTCCCTTCTCTCTTCCCATTCTTAAAAGATTCTTGCCATAGGGCACACGTGCTCGCCTGAGAGAGACAGAGACAGACAGAGGGAACGTGAGAAATCACCCCCAAGAGAGATGGCCACACTGCAGTCCCTTCTCTTCCACTCTCCTTCTGGGACCTTGGGCATGTATGCACACATGCTCAGTGTGATTTTTCAAGCCATCAGGTCCAGGATTAGAACTGCACTTGGCCATATGGGAGTCCAGCGCCCTAACCACCATCCCACATGCTGGCTCCCAAGAGAAGGATTTTTAAACCACCCCTAAAGTCTTCCTTCCTTTCAACACCTTGGCTCCCGTAGTCGGGTAAAACACCAGGCGCATATCCACGCCCTCATTTCACTTGTCAGAGCCTAAGTTTCCACATCCAGTTGGCGGAGGGCTAAGACCCAGCAGTATCAGGCTCATGGTGATCCTTCTAGTAAGGAGGCAAACCTGGCTGAAGTGCCCCACGGTCCTTGCACCCGGTGGTGAACTTATTATAGTCATTGACCGAACTGTGCTAACTGAAGAGCGCTTCCATTTTCTCATCTGAAAACTGAGGATAACGATAATCTCCACTCAAGGGCCTTTTGTGAGGGGCGGGCAGCTGGCACACGCTTCTATTGGGTCCCTTCTTTCAAAGAAGCCCCCTTCTGATGCCCAGCCTACCAGCTCTCTCTCCCTCTTCCGAGGACCCCTGAACACGGGGCTCCCAGGTGGCAAATAGAAGGCCGGGACTGCCGGGCATGGCCAGGGTGTACCCTGGCATGACAGCACGTCCAGTGACTCACCAAGTCCGTGCACTCATCTTCCATAATGGGGGCTCCTCACAAAGGGGAGGGAACATTTACAGGGCCCCCCAGGAGAGCCCCGCCTCTAAAGCTGGAGGCTGTTTGCAAGTCCCAGAGTTGGGGGTTTCTGAAGCTGGCCCCAGGAACTAGCTGGGCAGCCCTGAGGGGTCAGCCAAAGACGTAACCTCCCAGAAAGAGAAACGAGACCAATCAAAATTGTCTGCAGGCTGGATGCGAAGTTTTGAGACTGGCATCACTTGTCTAGCTTAGAATTCCCGAGAGGGGTCCTGAACACGTCACCCCTCCCCACCCCCTCCTTCCCTTCGCTCTGCTCCAAACAAGCATGGGCCCCTCCTCCCAGGTCTCCCCTTCCCCTCCGGAGCCTCTCTGAACCACGGCCTCTGCCTCCCATCACTGCCTCCCTCACGTCGCAGTGTTTGTGTTGTCTTCTAAACTGATCACGTTGAAGCTGAGCTGCGGACCACTCCCATGTTGGCTGTGCCCTGACCAGAGGCTCCCATTCTTCCTCACCTTCCCGCATGCTTGATCTGCCTCGCAGCCACCTCCTCCACCACATGCAAAGGAGGGGCCAGGAATACAGGACCCGCTCCCGCTCCTGCTCTGCGCTGGGCCTGCATGCCCTTGCAGAAGGCCCACCCCCAGGGCCTCCGCGTCCCCTCCTAAGGAACCTTCACGGGCGAGTTGGAAAACACGGGCCAGCTGTGTCCAGGGACTAAAGGAGACGGCTTTGGTGACCATCCATCTAGGGTGTCACAAGTTTCCTTCCACCATCCTTCTAGATTCTCAAACCTCTTTTCACTCTCCCTGGGAATAATCAAGTTTATTTACTCATCCTCCCTAACAGGGCTCCTAACAAAGGGAAGAAAGCCCTTAAGTGGCACCCAAAGAGATCCCCAGCTCTAAATCCCCAGCTAATCTGCCTTTCCCACGCCAGCAGCCTTCCTGGGAAGCCAGCTTCTTCACACCGCCAGAAATCAGTTCCCATCGAGGGCAGCTGTTCTTAAATGAGGGAAAACAAGGCTTAGAGGCTGCAACACATTTGCAGAGACAGCTGATGGCTTCATCGAAACCAGGAAGCCTCTTTGCTGCCGCTACCTGCTGCTAAGCCTCCCGCTCAAAGGATGGCTTTTGTGTTCCTCCCTGGGCTAGGAACCAGAGCTATCTGCAAGCCCCAGGGATGGGGGTCTTGGATGCTGGCCCGAGAAACCGGCTGGGCAGCCCCGAGGGGCCAGCCAAAGATGCAACATCTCAGAGAGAGAAAAAGCATTACTGAGAGACAGACGTGGAACTGGCAGCAGGATGAATGCACAGTTTTGAGAGTGGTGTCACTTGTCTAGCTTAGAAGTCCCCAAAGGGGTTCTGAAAAGTAGCTGCCGAAGAACTGAAGGCTCTGTGTCAGCTGTATGCAATATTTATGACAAAAAGGGGCACCCAGGAAAGGTCGCGTTGTCCACGTTGATGTGAAATATACAGCGGGCTCCCCGAGGCTGCGCGTCCCTCACTCCCACGCTGAAAGGAACGGCTAACCTACGAAGCTGCTGGAAATCCACTCTCCCCTGCAGCCAGGGCGTGGGGTTCTGCCAGAATCCAGAGGGCACCTGGGCGGGGCTCCAGATGGCAAACGTGAGGCCAGGGCTTGGGGCATGGCCAAGGTGGGCGCAGAGGTTGCCTTGGTGTGACAGGACGCACAGTGACTGCCATTAACGGGAGAAGCATGGTCAGGCTCTCAGGACACTTCACGTGCATTCGCTCCTTCAATGCCACGACCGGGGAGGCAGCAGCAGTGACGGCTTCTGTTACACTAATGAGGAAACCACGGTTCAGAGAGGTTAAGCAACTTGCACACAATCACACAGCGGGTACATGGTCACGCTGGGGTCGGAATTCCAGCCAACCGGACTCCAAAGCCTCTGCTCTTAGCCTTCACTCTACCCTGACCTCCGCAGTGGCCCGTGAGATGATCTCTGAGGGAACTCCTGGGTGGCATTACCCACTGGGTCAGCTTTTTATTATTACTATTATTATTATTATTATTTTACTTATTCATTTTTTTATTTGACCAGAGAGAGACAGAGGGTGAGAGTGAGAGAGAGAGGAAGTGAGAAAGCAAGCCACAGATTCAGGACTCGAACCCTGGTCGGCCATGTGGGAGTGTCCAGTGCCTTAACCACCACACCACCTGCTGGTCCCTCACTGGGTCAGCTTTAATCGGACAGCCAACTGGTGGCAGCAACAGCCCTGGGGTCATACGCGAGGGCACAGCCAAGAGGACCCCTGAGGAGCAGTCGCCTGCAGTTTCGGAAAACCGCTAGAGCGTCACCATGCAGAGGGTGAACACCGAACAACTGCACAGCTCCAGGCAGGGCCACACGAGGCAGTGATGGCGCTGGGGAGGGCTGGGCTCTGGGGCCAGGTAGCTCTGGTTCAAATCCCAGCCCTGCACTAGTTACCTCGCTTCTCCAGCCCTCATACTCTTCACCATAAAACGGAGGAGGGTGAAAAGCCACTTCCCCGGGTGCCTTCTCTCCTAACTCCTCCAGAAGGAGCTGGCAAGCCTAGCTGGGTCAGGTCCTGCCGTGTTAACCGGCCATGCCAGGGTGTGGACTTTTCTCCTTCCTTCCTTACAAATGAGGGCTGGTCAGTGCGGACATACCCAAACCAGAGCTGCGTAGAAATCTGAAGAGGAGCAGAACGCCAGCTGGGGCGTAAACGAGAGGGAGGGCTGGATGGTGGTGCAGCCGCACAACGCGACTCTCCGCAAGGCTGAGCCACTTGGGAGAGCCTGGGGTTCACATCCAGAGCCCCCCCACCCCCCAGCAGGCAGGAAATATGCACACCCATGGTACAGGGCTGGCTGAGGCTGGGGGTAGGTCACAGCATCGCAGCACTGTTAGGCTGCCCTCTCTCCCCCTCTCTCTCAGAAGAAAGAAATAGTGAGTTTTGCATAGAAAAATGTGTCATGACTTTTCCGACACCCCAATATTAAACTTAAAGATGACGGGGAGAATTCTCAAAAGCCACTGCAGAGTAGAGGGGGGAAAATGGTAACACAGAAAGACAATGCCGTGGTCCAGCCTCGGTAGCGTGTGATGCTAAGACACTGCATCCCGCATCCTGGGACCGCAGGGGAGGCCAGAGTTGCATTCTCAGTCCAACCTGAAGGCCACACACAGCACCATGCACCTGCGACCCCAGCCACCTGGGGAGGCCGAAGCAAGGGAAATACTGACACAGTCAGATTCTGTTTTTAAAAAGAAAAAGAAAGAAAGAGAAGAAAATGGCGCCTTGGAGATGGATCCATAAATTCTGAGTGGGTGGGAGAGAAAACGCCAAGCTGGCAGTCAGCACATTTCTCCCCGCCCAGGTTCCACGAAGCACCCCCTGTTGTGGCGTGGGCGGGTCCCTTCACTTCCCTGGGCCTCATCCACAATAAGGAGTTGGACTAGACGATTTTGGAGGGTCCTTGCATGTGGAAGAATTGAGGTGCGGCTTTCAGAAAGAAATGGACTCGTACCACCGGTGTCTCTGCAGCCCTGTCCGGACCAGGCGTTGCGGTAGCTACCAGAGATCCAGCGGTGAACAAAACAGACGGAATTCTCCACCCTCTGGGGGTTGTCATGTCAGTAGAAGCTGCCAGCCTCCAGGCTGTTGAGGAAAGACAAATGCCCCACGACATCTTCAAACAATATTTTTATCGGTGGCAAGAGGAGAGGCGAAATCTTTGTTCATCAGATTCTCCCGCTAGTGAGAATACCTGGAGTAATGGGGCAATCGTAACTGGACCAGGAACTCAGACTCAAAGCCATCATAAATAAGAACGGGGGTTACCTAGCCTTCCCATCCGAACCACGGGAGAAGGACAAGTGGAGACAGGCTGGCGGCCAGCAGCCTTCTCCCAAACAGCAGGCACTCCGAGGTGGTCAGACCGATCGCTTGTTCACGGGCCATTCGGATAAGAGAAGTTGAAGACAGGGTCTCCGGATAGGAAACCTGGCCAGCCCGGGGAGGAAGCATAAGAGCCAGGTGTCCAGGTGTTGGCTGTCAGAGAAGCCACATCTGACGGTCACACTGTCACCACCCAGACAGGGGACGTGGCAAGGCCAGAGCTCCCTCGCTTTCCAGGGTGGGGATCTATTATTTCAGGGACCTCGGGACACGGGTAAGGCCCAGATGGCTCCTCACTCCCAGGCTCCCCATAGGAACAAGAGCCTTGCGGGCAATTTTTCAGAATGCCAAGCTGTGTTCTAGTTTGGGTCGTTTTTGCCCCGACACTTACTGAGTGCTCAGAGTGCAGGCGAAGGGGCTCCAGGCTTTGGACCCAACCCACATAAGTGCCATGGTGCAGGGCTAGCTGAGGCTAGGGGTATCACAGCATGAAGACACTGCTGAGGGTTCTCTCTCTCTCAGAAAGAAATAGTAAACTAAAAAGGGTAGGGTGGGGGCCTCCTCTAATGCCACCGCAGAGTGCAGGAAAAACTTGCTAGGGCTGAAAAAGAACAGCCTGGCCCGCCTCGGTCGTGTGCGATGCTAAGACACCGTGGCCTGCATGCTGGGCCGCATGGGAGGCCAGAGTTCCAGTCTCCGCCCAACCCGAAGGCCACACACAGCGCTGTGTGCCTGTGACACCACCTAGGCTGTGTGGCCTGGACGAGCTCTGACCGTCTCAGTAGCTCCACTTAGCAGAGGAACTAATGGTGCTCGTCTTGAGTGAGAGGAGGAGCTGGAAAGGGGTGCTGCTGTTCGTACCCAGGGCTCACGCCAAGCCTCCTGCAGAGCCCTCGCTGCTGGAGGTTGAGTGTTTGCTAAATTACACGTGACCGGGGTGACTGGCTGATGCGCAGACAGGGAGGTGCGCTGGCCCTGTGACGAGCAATAACCGGGCATGCGCAGTGCTCCTTCGCCACACCGTCGACCTGCGCACGCACGCCAGACTCTCCGATGGCCTTTCCCGTGCGAGTGGTTCTGCAATTACGGTGTCAATTACGGTGTGCCCCGGGGAGGGGAGAAAATACCTCCTCTAGTCCCACTTGTGGCATCTGGGCCTGAAGTCCAAACTCTAGCCATGACGCGCTGGGCGACCCATGCAAGTTCCTCCACCTCTCTGCTCTACTTCCGTCCCTTCAGCTCAGAGATGTGGCAGCTGATCAGGCAGGGTCTTTGCAGGTGGCCTGCTCACAGGGGTGAGCCGCAGAGAGCAGGACGAGGTTGTGGGAGGAGCTGAGGGGGCCCAGGAAAGCCCTGATCCTCCAGGACCCATGAGCACTCAGGTGCTGGACATAATTGTGACCACAGACCAAAGAGCACAGCCACCGCCACACTGCCGTTGGCAAGGAGGGAATCAGAGGGACAAAGGCCCAGACATTCTCCTCCCACCAGCAGATCTCCTTCTAGAGCCTCCTATTGGCCGAACCCAACCAGAGGGCAGAGGTCAAGGGTGCTGGATCCCTGCATGTCGAACCTCCTCCACAGACAGCGGGCCAGGACAAACGGAGATGCTGGGCTGTGGTAGGCCATAACGCCTCCCGACAGTGCCTGCGACCTATTCCCCAGAGCCTGGAGAATAGGCTAGGCTACCTTACCCAGCAAAGGGGACTTTGTCATACTATGATTAGATTCAGGGTTTTGAGGTGGGGGGGTATTCTAGATTGTGCAGGGGGCTCGATCTAATCACAGGGTCTTCATGAGAGAGAGGCAGTGGCATCAGAGACACACAGAGGCGATGTGATGTCGGAAGTGGAGGGACGCAGGGAGAGACCTCAAGATGCTATTCCACTGGCTTTAAGGATGGAAGAAGGGGCCAGGAGCCAAAGAATGCAGGTGGCTTCTAGAAGCTGGAAAAGGCAAAGAAATGGACTCTCCACTCGTGTTTCCAGAAAGCATGCAACCCTGCCAGCCCATGTTAGGATTTCAGAGCTCCAGGACTAGGAGAGAATAAACCTGTGTGGTTTTAAGCCATTAGGTCTGTGGTAAAACACCTGCTCAATACCTCGGGTTCCCTCTGGCCACCAGCTTCCATACTAAGCTCCCCCCCATCACACCCTGGTCTCAAGGTCCCTGTCAACTCCAGTTAGCACGGAGGTCAGGGAGGCAGCCCATACCCTGTCTAAGCAGCATGGTTCTCAGAGGCAGGTAGAGACCAGGGGGGCTGACAACCCACATGTGCACCTCTCATGTCGGCCCCTCTAACTGCTCCCAGACTGCGGCTCCTGGCCCACTCCAGACTGCTCCCTGAGGTAAGCATCACATTTCCCCCCCTTTCCTTCTTTTTCTCTTTTTTTCTAAGACATCCTACCCATTGTGGACCATTTGGGAAGGGAGGCAGCACCCAGCAGTAGGAAACATTCCCAGTCCCGAAGTCAGGGAACCTGGACGCTAACCTGAGCCCTCCCACAGGTTTGAAGTGGGATCTAGAAAGCTACTGCTCCTCGCTGAGCCTCAGTTGCCCCACTGTACCAGGGGATGGGACTGAGTTGTCTCTGAGACCCTGGTCTGCTGGCAGTCTGATTCCATGGTTCTAAGCACCTGCTTGCCTGACCCAGCAGCCCCATAGGTCAGGACTCGCTGCCCCATCTGCATTCCCAGCCTCTCAGAATCTTGCTTCCTGGCCCAGGGACTATGCTCAGCTTGTTCTCTGCTGCCCCCTGCTGGCCACCCAAGAACAGACTTCCACTAACTCCTCGGGAAAGGAGCAGTCTGGAAACCGCCCCTGGGACTGACTTCCTGCAAACACCGGCCCGTGCAGACCAGCCAGAAGCTCCCTTGAGGCTAGTTTTCAGGGTGCAGAAAGGAGTTCATACAGGAGCCAGAGTCCTGAATAGTGAGGCTTTCTGTGTCTCTCCCCACTTCTGCATCCACCATCTCCACACTAGTAGGACAGATTGTAAGATGCCGTGGTTTCTAAAACTGGCTCTGCTGTCCCATGTGTCTTTGGAGGGCGGTGACAATAGCACCAATGTGTCCCAATAGCACTCTCTCTCCAAGGTGTCTCCCACCACACCCTATAGGTGTCCTGGCCCCTACCCCCTCTTTTTTCTTGGGCTCATGAATATCCTGAGGCATCAGAAGGGCAAATGTGCACACAGGACCAAGCCGGGCCCTGGGGTGCACCCGGGCATCAGTCCCGTTGGGGGGTCCGCAGACCTGGCAGACCACAAATGAGGCAGGAGCCTCGCTAACCCCAGGAGGGAGGGAAGATGATGGAAATGCTGCCTAAGAAAAGAGGCAGGACAAGGAGGCTGGGGAGACCAGCCATAGTGTCTGGCCCTGGAAATATGTCCCTTGCTGGACTCGATCTGCTCTGAGCCGCATTGGAAGCCCAGGCATCATCCAGGCCTGTCTCCGAGGGCAGGGCGGCAGGGAGGGGCAGGTGAAGGCCCCAGCTCTCTGCCCCTTGTCCCCCTCCCCAGTGCACCTTCTCCAGCTCAGATGACTCTCTCTGGCCTCAGGACACTCCTACCTTGCAGATCACCGAGTCCTCTTCCTCTGACCTCCTCTGAAACCTCCTTCTTCCTTCCGCTTCCTTCACAGTCTGCCCTATGGCCCACTGCCAAAAATTAACTGCCCTTGGTCCAGCCGGTGGTGTGAGGTTAAGGCGGCTGGATCCCACATGGCTAACTGTGAGGTTTAAGTCCCAGACCCAGCAGCTTGAAAAACACGCCAATGCATGTGTGTTCGTGCCCAAGATCCCAAGAGCAGAATGGAGGAGAAGGGAATGCAGCATGGCCATCCCACTAGGGGGAGATTTCTCACTTTCCCTCGATCCTGCGAAAAAAGGAGACGGGACAGGGCGGTTGGGCACCCCAGCCATAGTGTCTGGCCCTGGAAATATGTCCCTTGCTGGACTCGATCTGCTCTGAGCCGCATTGGAAGCCCAGGCATCATCCAGGCCTGTCTCCGAGGGCAGGGCGGCAGGGAGGGGCAGGTGAAGGCCCCAGCTCTCTGCCCCTTGTCCCCCTCCCCAGTGCACCTTCTCCAGCTCAGATGACTCTCTCTGGCCTCAGGACACTCCTACCTTGCAGATCACCGAGTCCTCTTCCTCTGACCTCCTCTGAAACCTCCTTCTTCCTTCCGCTTCCTTCACAGTCTGCCCTATGGCCCACTGCCAAAAATTAACTGCCCTTGGTCCAGCCGGTGGTGTGAGGTTAAGGCGGCTGGATCCCACATGGCTAACTGTGAGGGTCAAGTCCCAGACCCAGCAGCTTGAAAAACACGCCAATGCATGTGTGTTCGTGCCCAAGATCCCAAGAGCAGAATGGAGGAGAAGGGAATGCAGCATGGCCATCCCACTAGGGGGAGATTTCTCACTTTCCCTCGATCCTGGTGTCACTCCAGGGAGTGTGCATGCCCTATAGCAAAGCAAAACATACAAACAAACAAAAATTAAAATTTATTCCCCCTTCACCAAGGCAGGGAGGGCTTAAACTTCAAACCTCGTATCACTGCAAAAGAAGCCTAGACACAGAGACAGCAGTCAAACACTGCCATGTCGGATATGTGCTGTGTCTCCTGATGCCAGGAAGGTCTTGACATTGGAACCATGAAAAAGGAAATGCAGTCAAAGCCAGGAGCAGGCCCTGCAGGGAAACACACTTCCACAGCCATAATCATGCAAATGCTGTTTATTGATTTTCAGATTTTAGACTCAGTCGATGGACAAAGCACAAAGACTCCATTTTGGTTATCCATTTTGGTTACCGAGCAGAAGTTGGAAGTCAGCTGGGACGATGAGAAAGAGAAAGGAAAGCCCCGTTTGGTCTTTAGGAAGGAGGAGAAAGCGGGGAGGTGGGGGATGGGGTCCAAGCAGTGCCGTCGTCATCCAACATGTGATTCTAGAGTTCTGGGTCTAGCCATAAAGGAACAAAAATAACCAAGATCCAAAAATAGAACTACCCAGAAGGGGACGGGAGGGGCGAGAAAGCATCAACTCTGCATTTTTCATCAACGTGGGGTAAAAACGCGTGAAGAACTTGTGATTTAAGTGTCTTATTTGGAGACAGGAAAGCTACCAAAAGAACTAACAGCAGGGTCAACTAGACCCGCTAGCTCTGGGCTAGGAAATGGGAAGGGAAGGGGACCAGCAGTTAGCGTAATGGCTGTGTCACTGAACTCCCATGTAGCCGGCCACGGTGCAAGTCCTAGACCCAGTGGCTTAAACTCACGCCGGGCGAGTGTGGGCGCGTGCCCAAAATCCCGAGAGGAAAATGGCATGGCCATCCCCCCTGGGGGGTGATTTCTCGCTTTCTGTCTGTCTCTGTCTGGCTGGCTGGCGAGCGCACACACTCTATAGAAAAAACCTTTCTAAAAAAAGAAGAAAGAAAAGAGAGAGAGAGAGAAAGAAAGAAAGAAAGGAAAGAAAAGGAAAGAAGAGAAGAGAAGAGAAGAGAAGAGAAGAGAAGAGAAGAGAAGAGAAGAGAAAAGAAAAGAAAAGAAAAGAAAAGAAAAGAAAAGTGAGAGGGGCAGGAAGAATATTTCCTCCCCTCTTCCTGTCTGAAATGATGATTCCTGCTTTCCTAATAATCATTGCCCACTTTCATGGAGTACATAAACTTCACTGTCAGCCATAAGCTCTTCTGTATCCTTTTTATTATTATTTTAAGAGGTTCTTGCCTTAGGGCGCATGCGCTCATTGGAGAGAGCCAGACAGAATGAGAGGGAAAGTGAGAAATCGCCCCGGGAGGTTGGCCACGCTGCAATCCCTTCTCTCATGTTCTCCACCCCAGATTGTGGGCACCCACACACACACACACACACACACACACACGCCAGCTGTGACTTTCAAGCCACCAGGTCCGGGACTCTGTCTACCATGGGCCATGAGGAAGTCCAGCCATGTCACCGCTATGCCATCTGCTGGTCCCCTTTCGAATTTTTTTTTTAAGCATGGACATGTCTGGCTGTGATTTCAAAACTTAATTTTAATTTTAAATTGTAAGAAGTGATTCTAAAAGCTTGGGTGACTTGCCCGCTGCCTCGGGCCCAGTGGCCGG